AAACAGTCCCCTCCTCCACCTTTTCAAACAGTCCCCTCCTCCCCTTTTCAAACAGTCCCTCCTCCACCTTTTCAAACAGTCCCCTCCTCCACCTTTTCAAACAGTCCCTGTGGTCTAAATGAAACATCTGTGCTGTGCTTTGGTCAAAATAATAACATGAATCAGCACCAGAGGAGGTTTGTGACCCTGTATAAACCAGCTCTCTGAGAAACGCTCCGTTTTGGTGTGTGTGTCTCTTTAAATGTAATGACCCCCCCGAGTTTTCCCCGTAGACATCACTCCTCTGTAGAAAGAATAAAAATGGCGGACCTGCACAAAAGTTTAGTTCTAGTCTGGGGGTGGAGTCCATGGGTGGAGATACCAGGGGAGGGGAGGGGATTATTTTTTTTAACATAATCCCACTGTGACATCACAAGGAGAGCACATTTGAAACTGAGCATTTTTCTCTGTGTTTCTCTCTCTATGTCAAAGGTGAGTTCTTTAACTCTGGGTCCTGTTTTTACACGTTATGGGGTCAACAAGATCTGCAGCCGTGCAACAGGCAGTAACGGCTGCAACATCTACCTTGATGATCAAAAGGCGTTTTCGGAATGCAGGAACTTTTTCATAGTTCTGCAAGAACTGTTGCTACCCTCCCCTAACTTTAGTGATTCTGCACCTCAGGAACTGTGAACTATTTTAGTTCCTAGCACCACATTTAGAGGAACCTTTTTAACTCCTGCTTTCGAGCTTTTCTGCAGACAGAAAAAAAGTCCTTGTGGTGTGAAGTTCTCAGAGAACTTCCATCGTGGATAGTTCCTCTTCAAAAAAGTCCCCAGAACTGTTTGGTCCTAAAGTGAGTCCACTTAAGTTCCTGTTTCACTGCTGCTGGATGAAGTTATCTATCCGTCATTTAGACCCTAAAAAGTTGTTGAAAAAGTAGATTTTCTTGTTGTACAGAGGCTGTTGCTCCTTTTCCTGCATGTCATTCCCCACTCTCCCTCTCTCTCTCTCTCCCTCTCTCTCTGTCTCTCTCTCTCCCTCTCCCTCTCCCTCTCTCTCTCCCTCTCCTCTCTCTCTCCCTCTCTCTCTCTTTCTCCCCTCTCTCTCCCTCTCCCTCTCTCTCTCTCTCCCTCCTCTCCCTCTCCCTCTCCCTCTCTCTCTCCCTCTCCTCTCTCTCTCCCTCTCTCTCTCTTTCTCCCTCTCTCTCCCTCTCCCTCTCTCTCTCCCTCTCTCTCTCTCTCCCTCCCTCTCCCTCTCTCTCTCCCTCTCTCTCTCTTTCTCCCTCTCTCTCTCTCTTTCTCCCTCTCTCTCTCTCTCCCTCTCCCTCTCTCTCTCTTTCGCCCTCTCTCTCTCTTTCTCCCTCTCTCTCTCTCTCCCTCTCTCTCTCTTTCTCTCTCTCTCTCTCCCTCTCTCTCTCTTTCTCCCTCTCTCTCTCCCTCTCTCTCTCTCCCTCTCTCTCTTTTCTCCCTCTCTCTCTCTCTCTCTCTCTCTCCCTCTCTCTCTCTTTCTCCCTCTCTCTATCTTTCTCCCTCTCTCCCTCTCTCTCTCTCACTCTCTCTCTCTCCCTCTCTCTCTTTTTCTCCCTCTCTCTCTCTCTCTCTCTCTCTCTCTCCCTCTCTCTCTCTTTCTCTATCTCTCCGTCCTGTCTTTCTCTAAAAAGCCCCAAAATAAATCTTCTGTTTGTGTGTCTCCTTCTGGCAGGATGTGGTCTCTTCATCACCTGGGCAGCTCTGTACAGGTGTAACCTGGACGTGATGGTTTGGAACGTGGTGTTCCTGGTGGTGAACTTCATGCACCTGTTCTTCCTCCTGTACAAACGCAGACCTGTGAGTTCCTCATCTGCTCTACACTCGTTCAGCAGGTATCGGTGGAACAGTGTGTTTATGTATTGAGTTATTCATGGCTGTCTCTCAGGAAGACCCTTCTGGTGTGGTTCTGCATTATGGTAACGAGATGCAGATAAAATCGGGGGGGGGGGGGGGGGGAAATGAGCCGACAGTCAGACCCGCTTTGTTCTTAATGAGACAGGAGAGCTGTCCTCCCCTCCCAGACTCCCTGAATATGAACATAAATCCCTGCAGCTCTTCTGAATCTTCCTGTTAGATTTTCACTAAACCAGACTGACTCTAAACCTGTGTCCGTGCTCTCTCAGATAAAGATCGACAGGGAGCTGCGCTCGGTCTACAGGAGGATGTTCGAGCCCCTCCACGTGAAGGAGGCTCTGTTCCAGAGGCTCACAGGACAGTTCTGCACCATCCAGACCCTGAAGAAAGGTCAGGCCTACGCTGCTGAGGACAAGACGTCGGTGGATGAACGGCTCAGTATCCTCCTCAAAGGAAAGTACGTGATGTTTTATCTGCATGAAATATCTTTTGAATATGAGTTATTTGAGATGCGGTTCGCAGCTGAAATAACCTGCAGATAATACAAGTGTTGATGTTTGTGTGTGACAGGATGAAGGTTTCCTACAGAGGTCACTTCCTTCACAACATCTACACAAACTCGTTCATCGACTCTCCGGAGTTCAGGTCCACTGAGATGCACAGAGGAGAGAAGTTCCAGGTATGAAAGAAAAATCACTTTTTGACTCGTCAATGCTTCACAAACCTTTGATTTGATTGTAGTCCTACGTATTTACCCTTGGAGCTAGATAGACTTTATTGTCTGTCCCAACAGAGACAAGGAAACTTCTCCTACGTCCTCCTGTTAGCTGCAGCATTAGCTGCATGTAACGCTCGGTTCCAGCCGAGTGTTACAGTGTGACGTCTTGTCAGTGTGATATCACTGATCTAAGCCCATTGGCTCGTTGTGGTAAGCCCAGCAGCTCATGTTGCACGCCCATTAACTTCTGTAGCACGCCAACGATATGCCGTAGCCTGCGGTAGCACAGTAGTGCTAAGGTGCTAATGTTTTTGCTCCCCTCGGAGCCAAAGTGGCTGCATTCCCAATATGGTAAAAGAGGCGTGACATTTCCGAGAACCGTGCTGAGCGACTGACCAATTAGCTGACAGGCCGACCAATCAGATCAGACTTGGCACACATGGGGACTCTGAACGTGGGCACTTCAGAGCCTTAGAAAGAGAGTCAGAAGCGAGCCGGTGCACGGAGCGGCAGTTCATGAAAACAGACACTTTTTTAGAACTTTAGCTATTGTGAACATACTTTAGTAGGTACATAGATTAAATATATGAACCCCAAAAAGGGCAAAATATGGGCTCTTTAAAAACACAAAGTGCAGTACATTAAAAGAGGACTTAAAAACAACAGTTTCTAAAAAGGGGGGGTCTATTTGACTTTGCTCAGAATGGTTATTGCAGAGGGAATGAAGGATTTTTTGTAGATGTTTTTCCGGGCCAGAGGGATGTTGTAGCGTCTGCCTGATGGCGGTAACTGGAAGGAGTGGTGGAGGGGGTGAGAGGGGTCCTCTGTGATCAGGGTGGCTCTCCTGATTACAAAGCGATTATACAGTTTGGAGAGGGTAGTTTGTGGAGAACAGATCATTTTGCTGGCCTGATTAACGATGCGGGAGAGTTTGGCTTTGTGTTTGGTGGTGAGGGAGTTGTACCAGGATGAGATGTTATTAGTGAGAGAGATTCAATTGATTGAAGTGATTGGTAAACCAGAGTTAAAATATGTTTGCTGACATGAAAAGTCCTTAGTTTCCTCATCAGGTGGAGTCTCTGTTGTGATTTCTTGTAGACAGAGTCAGCATGCTGTGAAAAGGAGAGACAGGTGTCAAACTCTGTTCCCAGATATTTAAAAGAAAGAACCTGCTCTACAAGCTGACCCTGGATTGTGAACGGTTGGAAGAAAGGCAAGGTAGGAGATAGGTGTAATTAAGAGAAATATCTGGATCCTCCTGATGGTTCTGCCCTGCTGGATCTGAACTCTTGTGTTTGCACTACTGTGGAGGAAGATAAATGTCTGCAGCACCAAGATACATTTTCCTACAGGGACAGCAAGTGATCATTATTCTAAGGTGTCATATTGTATCATACTGTATCTGTCGTATATTTTCTTGTTGTATTAATTCTGTTGTATCACATGGTATTGTGTCCTATTTAATGGCATCTCAATGTGTTGTATCTGATCATATCTGTGGTATTGAATTGCATCATCTTTTCGAGTTGTGTTGTGTCATATGGATCGTATAGAACCATATTTCAAACTATTTATCGTATTGTATATATTGTATCTTATCTTACTGTATCATATCTTATCATACCAGATTGAATCGCATCTTCTTGTATCGTAACATAACATTGGAATTATTAGCTGCTAACTATCCTTTCAAATTGATTTTTATTGATTTTTCTTGGATGCATCTTCACATTGCAATTACATGGCACAACAGTACATTTGAACTAAAAACATCCATATTAGGTCGATACAGAAATGAGTGTGAACATTAGTGGTGTGGGGAAAGAATGTACCGAAACCCCCACACTCGAACTGTAAAATAATAATAATAATAATAATAATAATAATAATGATAAAAGTCCAGAAGAAAGCATACAAGTACAAAACAAACAAACACAAGGACAACAAGCATACAGACAATAGAGAGGACAAGAGATAAAGAGACACACACAGACTTACAAAAAGGGGGGGGGCAATTAGCTGCTAACTATCGGTTATGAAAATTAAATTAAAAAAAAGAAACAGCTACGTCGCTATCCCTAAACATTGCCTGAGTGTCCTTCCAATCAACAGTCTATAATAATTTTATCCTTCAGTATTGTATTGAATCTGTCTTATCGTATGGCATCGCAATGTAAATGTCCGTGTTGTTCGGGTTCTATCACTTGTTATATTTTGGGGACTTAAAGACTGATTCTGAATTGTCTTTATCTTCAGTAGATTTCTTCAGTGAAACTTGCTGCATTGGCTGCAACATAGTCCCTGATGGATCAAAGTGCCTCCACTAAAACTTCTGGTTTCTGTCACTGACAGACTCAGATAGTTCTTCTAAGTGTCTGACTACGTTACAGAATTGATCCCAGAGATAAACCTGTTGTTGATAAAGAGGGAAATGTTTTTTTGTATCCTGAAACAGCTGTTACATCACTCTTTCTCTAAGACACCAGACTCCATTGACATAAACAGAACCTGGGATTCTATGGTCGACTGCTGCTTGGATTGATGAGATTTTTGTATTTGTGTTACAAAAATATTGTGTTAGATTGAAACTGACTAAACGAAAACAAAGTCAAACAACAACAGAGACAGAACCAGAGACTGAGGAAGTAGTCGACAAACAACTCGTGTGCTCTTCAAAGTAAAATTACCTTTTTTGGCAATAGAGTTTGGTAGCGTTGAAGAGTGTGAAGTGTGAAGTAATCGATCTTTCTCTACTTTAGCTGTAACCATAGAAACACCTTCATAAGTCAAAAACAGTAGGACCCAGTAAAAGTACAGAAATGTCCCCTTTATCGTTTCAAGGATAAAAAATGACCTGCTTTTTCATCTTCACCCTTCCACTAGTTGATTTTTATTTTTTGTTTTACATAAAGGTGACCATCTTGGCCGAGGAGAACTGTAAGTTCCTGTGCTGGTCTCGAGAAAGACTCACGTACTTCCTGGAGTCCGACACCTTCCTCAACGAGGTGTTCAGGTACCTGATCGGGAAAGACATCACCAACAAGCTGTACTCTCTGAACGACCCCACGCTCAGCGACAAGGTGCGTTCAAGGACAGCTGCGTCATTAAATCAAACCCCAGAGAAGAACTGATGATGTATAAAATAACAATGAGGATGATGATGATGATGACGATGATGATGATGATGATGAATGTGTCCCAGGCCGTGAAGAAGATGGACCGGCAGCCCAGCCTCTGCTCCCAGCTCTCCATGATGCAGATGAGGAACAGCATGGCGAGCACCAGCGACACCGACGACGTCCTCAACCAGATCATGCAAAGAGGATCGGCTGGGTCATCGATCCGTGAGTCATCAGCCAATAGGATGTTTGAGTCTGTTTCAAGGTTACCCTTAAATTTATCAAACGAGTTTACAGATGCACAAAACCCAACGACTCGTCCACTTCCTCGAGGCCCCCCTAACCCAAAAAGGGTTAGGTTTAGGGTTTGGGGACTACCTTCCCCGAGTCGGGGTCGAGGTCATTTGCTGACTTTGTTCCTGCCTCCTTCCTTGGATTTGGTAGCCATATTTTTAGGCTCCCTCTTTGAATTTGAACTCTGATTTTAGTTACCTGTGGTCATTGAAAGTTGAAAGGGCAGACATTCAGCCGGGACGCCCCGAGACGTAACCCTGCATGGGTTCTGGGTCTGATAAATGCACCCATCCTCAATGTTCAACATATATGCCACAGTTATCAAAGGAACCACAACTGGACCAAGGCCCGGGTTGGGAACCAAGTCGATTAAATATGAAAACATGCGACACAGCGTTCCCATTTCAGGCTGAAATAAAAAACAGTAATTTAGATTTTCATGATGTCAGATTATTGTAAGAGTGAAAATGGGATATGCAAATAAGTTAGAAACATATGTTTATATGTTCTTTCTCTATGCAGACATAACTTTAGTATGTTCTTAAATGATTGCTATAATGTTGGTTACAAGTGTTTACAGTAATGTTAATATCCTGTTATTAGGTAGGCCACCTAGTGGGCGCTGTTCAGGCAGGAGTGGGCTGTGTAGAGAGGGAGGAGAAGAAGAGATGTGGTGGAATGTACCGTGCGTCGGAGAAGCTGACTAAAGTTACGAGAAAGACCCAGAACGTGTTTGGACTGATTTATTCCTTCACATACACCCACGTTGCTTACATTATGTTCCTAAACTTCAGCTGTGACTGACCTGAGAGAATTTTGCTGAGGGTCTACAAAGTTAGTGGCCTAGTGGTTAGCTTGCCCGTCCCATGATGGAGGCCACTGTCCTCTTTCCCCTATCTCTGTCTCCCTGATTTGCGACTCTTTCCACTGTCCTGTGTCTCAAATAAAGGCGTGAAAGTCCACAAAAAAACCCTTTAAAAAATACTTCTCGATGAACATGAGCGCTTCAGCTTGATGTTTTTAAAAGTTCATTCCACATTTACAGAGATTTCATGCTCTTAAAAGCTCTTCAAAAATATTTGGTTCTTTTTCCAACTACCAAAATTTGTTGGACCGTGTTGACATCCTACACCAGAGTGAAAGCATCAGCAGGAGGAACTCGGCATGCCGTCATGCATGTGTTGTGTGGTGGACTAAAAGCAGCTCTTCAGGATGTATTCAGCCAGGAGAGCAGCTCTGTTTCTGTTCTGCAGAGGAGCTCTCACCATGATAATGGAGCACCTGTGAGTGCTAATGGAGCTCATCCACAGGCTCTGTTCGCCCTCGCATTGTGCCTGATCGGGTTTTTATATTGATGCACTTTTCATAATGACCTCCTTCTGTGTGGATTGTTTGGTGACATGTGAACTCTTCTGTTGGTTGTTGAGCCACTTTTTTTTCATCCCTGAGTGCATATGAGCTCAAACAAACAACGACAGCTTTTATGTTGAAAAACACATTATGGATTCATTTGTCATCTCTCTCTTTAGAAAAATCACCTGGAACCAGAGCCTCCGCCAAGATGAAGCCCATAGCAGAAGGCCTGGAGGACGATGTTTTTGAAGAATCTGCTCCTTCCAAGTCCGCTCACATGGGCAGCACCTCCAGTGAGGAGGTGTAGACCGCACACAGCAGAGAGAACGACCCAGGCATGAGCTTGAAATGGATGTATGTGCCTTTTGTTCAGGCTGATTCAGCACCATTTGAATGTCAAAAAGATGATCATTTTGAATGTTTTTGTCAGTTTGTCCACCAGAGGGCGCTAAAAAGAAGCATTTTGACCTCTCAGGGCGCGGTCACATTGGCAATCCGTACCGTGCTCCTCCTCCTCAGTCCGCCGCTGGCCTTCATGGCCTGCGGTCACACTGCTCCAGGACTAACCGGGCCTAAGCACAGTTACCTCTTGTACATAACGTCGTAATACAGCACATGCATTATGGCTTAATGTTATTATGAAGCGTGCTTAGTTTACAAGACAGGCGGACTCGAGGGTACGGATTGCGAGTGTGACCACGCCCTCAGAAATATGTGAAATAATTCCAACTTCTCCACGCACTATGATGTCATCTTTGCACATAATATAATAAGATTTTGGGTTAGCTGCAGTTCAAACAGGAAGTCAGAGTACATGTCTATTCATCTATTTTCTTCCCCTTATCCGAGGTCGGGTCGCGGTGGCAGCAGCCCCTGGGTCTACCCCGGGGTCTCCTCCCATTTGAGCGTGTGTCTGTAAAAACCTCCAAATTAAAAAAATTTGCATTTCTAATCAAATGCTAAAACACTCAAATATTTGTTATTGGTTGTTTCGAGTGCAGCTTTAACTTATCAGATATCTGTGTTGGAATCTCTTTAAAGAATAATTTATCTATGGAGCTCAACGTGTCCAAACAGACAGGACTGGGCGGTTTCCTCTCTGTGAATTTATTTTATTAGTCATAATATAAAAATATAGATATAGATATAAATATACATTTTACTATTTCATGCACAAGGTCACACGTGTCACAACTTTCATAGATGTCTTTGTAAGTGAGGATTTCCCCTTTAGAGATATTTTATTTAAGAACATACTCTTTTTTTAAACCAGTGCACTTGTGTGTTTAATAAAAACATTTACAGTTGTGTCTCGCTGTTTGATGTGTTCTTAAAGTTTTCAGGAGTTCTGTTTTTATTGTGATTTCATTGCTGTGTAACATTAAATAGAAATGTGACCAGTCATCCTGCTCTCTGTTTGCTCCTCAAGGTACAGCCAGCAGGTTTTTAACGTCGGGGTTAAGGTGTGGTTTTGTAGGATCTGGAGGAGTGCAGCGCCCTCCTGTGGCCATACTGTGAAATACAGGTTCAGTTTTTTGTTATAGAAAAGTCAGTGAACGTCCACCTGCAGGAAAACGGTCGGAAGTAGAACTATATAATGAATGAAATGACACGTTTAAGAAATATTATGAGACATGAAAGCAAAGAATTTAAGTATATGTGTGCAAAAACCAGAAGAAGTGTTTTCTTTGGTTGAACTTATTGTTAATCGTATTTAAATCTTTTGCATCTTTGACTCAATAATCGTACAGCTATTAAGCACAGTGATCAATCCTGTAGATAAATAACACATGCTTTTTTACAGTCCACTGATACATCAATATTATAATGATACATCAATAATTAAGCTAAAACACAAGACAAACATGGATATCTTCATATTGTTTCAATCTAAGATTATTTTTAGTAAAACGTACAAGCTGTGTAGGTCTAATTATATTTTATTTTTGAGATGGTTGAATTAATGTTGTTCATCCTCTTAAGACAAAAAAGTAAAATACATATATCATCATACTATTATACTTTATTATACTATTAACATAGCCTATATCATGTACACATAATTCAATTCATCCTGTATTCATTTATTGTATATAAAACATTAATTCTATCACAGTGAAAAAATAAATAATTTTTTTTACCAGAAACTATTCACAGTAAGGCAAAAATATGTTATTTTAAAATCAAAATGTTCAATATTTAAATTTACATAAGAGCACATGGGTCTACATTTGAACATAAACTATTTAAAGTGCCAAAAATAAGTTATATAAAAGTTAAATACATTTAATATTTAATTTAATTGGACTTTTTTTTATATAGCAATGTAATAAAAACACAGGATCTTTGCCTTTAGCCTTTTAAACCCGGTAGCCTCTGTAGACTTCATTACCCACAGTGCATCGCGCGTGTGTGTCATCAAAACAGGAAGTGTGACAGACAGGGGCGATGAGAGTGTTTGAGCACAACAGGAAAATATGAGCGGACTGTAAATCAGAGAGGGACGGTTCTCCTGTCGGCCAGCGCCCATCATGGCCCGCTCTCAGGACCTCCGCACCCCGGCGAGGAGCTCCTAAAGCCGCCGCCAGAGGCTTCTTCTTTCCCGCGGTTCATCGCTGGTGATCCGTTCACATATGATGGAACGGGCGATGGAGCAGCTAAACGTACAGCTCAGCCGGCTGACCCGCTCCCTCCGCCGGGCCAGAACCGTGGAACTCCCGGAAGGTGAGGAGCCGGAGGGGGAATGTTTACGTTTAAATACGGTTTACGTTTAAATACGGTTATATTAAAGTTCAGAGCAGCCTGCCCCGGCCTCTGTATAAACACAGAGATTATTAACCAGAGAAGGTTCAGTCTGCTGTGTTTAATCATAACACAATCTTATCCCAACATGTATAGCCTGCAGTAAGTCATTAAAGTGTCAGGTAACAGATTCGTTTTTAAAAATCTTAGTCATATAAAAACTGTTTAATGTAAAGACTGTTTGTTTTAAAGTGATCTTTGTGTTTTTTTATTTTTATGTTCCTGTTGTGTTTGTTTCTCTGCAGATAATGAGACTGCAGTATACACACTGATGCCAATGGTGATGGCTGACCAGCACAGGTGAGCATCAAGCCACACACACAACAACAACAACAACAACAACAACAACACCACAGGTGGTGTGTTACTGCTGACACTTCTGTGATGAGGCATAAAGCATAAAGTGTTTACATGTTTTAACAGAAGCATCATGGGTCCACATGCCTGCAGTCAGAGAAGTGCGTGTGTGTGTGTATTTGTGTGTGTGTTGTTGTCTTCAGTACAAACCGTAGTTTCTTCTCTTTCAAAGGTCGGTTTCAGAGCTTCTACTCAACTCCAAGTTTGATGTGAACTACGCCTTCGGTCGGGTGAAGAGAAGTCTGCTGCACATTGCTGCTAAGTAAGTAAACAGAGCGGGTGTTCCGGTTCTTCTGGACTTCTGTGAACACAGCGATCGCACTCTGATCTGATGTGGAACAAAACAATCGAAAAGCTTCGACTGGAAGTGAGCGGAGATCTCCCCTATCAGGCGTTCTCCGCTCACTTCCAGTCGAAGCTTTTGAGCGGATTCGTTTGCAGTCTCAGCAGATTGTTGTTCAACATGATCGAGGTTTCCGCCTCTTACAGGACGTTGTTTCCTCTCCACTGTTACTTTGCTAGATGTTGCTTAGTGCTCATGAGGGATTCATGTTGGGTCTTTGTAGATAATATAACCATGGGGGACTTCTCTTCTGTCTGTATTGGTACCACCATGAAGCAGGATCTAAAAAGGTTCCTCTAAACGGGGTTCTAGGAACTAAAATGGATAGTTCCTGTGGTGTGGATTCACAAAAAAAAGGGGGGGGGGTTCCAGCAGTTCCTAGATCAACAAAAAAGTTCCTACGGTCCGATAAAGCCTAATGAGTTAGGGTCTTTACCCATTACTCACTGTCTCAGGACTCGAGCCTCCTGGTTCAACAAAGTTGTTTAAGAGAATTTATATCCAGCAGGTGAAAGAGGAGAATGTTTCCTTCTCATCACTAGAACCTCCTCTGTTGGAGAAGCTGGTCTCATAACTTTACATGTCGCTGTCGGAGTTTCTCTTTTCTCTGCCGAACACTGGTGTTACGGTTTAAAGAGCTACCGTGTTAACTGGCGCCCTGCAGCTAAATGATAACAGCAAGAATGCCTCATATACATTATTCATCAAAATGAACTTATCAGGTATGTATTTAAAGAGCCCATATTCTGCCCTTTTTGGGGTTCTTATATTTAATCGAAGTTCCTACTTTTGTCACAATAGATAAAATCTGAAAAAAAGTGTCTGTTTTCATGTACTGCTCCTCCTTGCTCCCTCTCTGCTCTGAGTCCGTCAGCTACACTCTGTTGAGCCCACACTGTTAGACCCCACGTGGGCCAAGTCTGCTCTGATTGGTCTGCCGATCCGCTCTGTCGTTATTGGTTATTATTATTATTGCCACAACGAGTCAATGGGCTTAGATCAGTGATCTCACACTGACAATGACGCCACACTGACACATTTTTATCGAGGGGGGCTAGAACCGAGCGTTACATGCAGCTAATGCTACAGCTAACAGGAGGAGGTAGGAGAAGCTGCGTTTCCGTGGACTTTGAATTTTTGCACAAAGATGTGCCTAAACATGCACAGGACACTTGGAAAACACATTAAAGAGCATATAAAACCAGAACAATCAGAATATGGGACCTCTGCGCAACCAGCGCCCCCCTGAATGAGATATTTGACCTCCTCACTGCTGCATGTCAGCCCACGGTTCATCTGGTCGGTAGGTTAACTAGCTAACAAGCGTCTTGGAGGCGTCCCACAATGCAAAGTGCGACTACTATGCATGACATCTGTTTACCCACAGCCCTGCCTAGGTGTGTGCTTCGGCCTGCGGTACATTATTGCAGTGTGGACATGAAACGACCCGAGGGAAATATAGAAATATGTATCACCTTCTCATCTGAGACGGGACAAAGCAAACGAGTCCCTAGGTGTGAAACTGACCCAACTGTTCACTCTTTAAAGCTCCTGTCACAACCAAACAGAATGAAATGAGTACTGAGAGCTGAAGGGAGGCTCAGCACAAAGACGGGCCGTTTCTCCACAGTTATTTTTAAAGTCTTAATCTGTAGCTGCAGCGAAAGGTGTCGGATGAGGCGTCAAAAACTGCACAATGTCGGAACAGCCTTTGTTTACACATTCAACAGCAAAGACTCCCAGAGAGTGATGCGTTCAAGTGTTAAAAGAAAGAAGAGTATTGTAACAAGAGTTTTAAAATGGGTCAACTTTCAAATAATCGTTCCTTTATATCATAAATTTAACTAATACATCAGATGCATTGTCCCGCTATTGTTAGCCTGATGCTACATTAAAATGAATTGTTGAGTGAGTGAATGAGTTGACATGCATCTTCCTGTTTCTCCTGTGTTCCCTGCACAGCTGTGGATCTGTGGAGTGTCTGGTTCTCCTGCTGAAGAGAGGCGCTAACCCAAACTATCAGGACATCTCAGGCTGCACCCCTCTGCACCTCGCTGCCAGGAACGGGTACGAGCCCCAAACACTCACTCTGACCTACCTGTAGCTGAGGTGTTCAAGCTCTTTTGTCCGGATGTATAAACAAACAAACTTTTACTTTTATCTGATAATTTAATCTTTTACTTTTGTGTGGAAACAAAACACATGTTCAGTTACAGACGTGCTCTGCAGGGGGGCTTGACGTCCAACGAACATGTTCAGTGCATTTCCTTCCTGACAGGAAAGTAAAGGAAGGAAAGACAAACTTTAAAAACAGCTTCTGTGACAAACACAAGGTGCATTTGAAGAAGAATTCCGGTATTGTAAAAATCCACTAAAAGTCCCTGACATGCTCAGACTGACATAACTCCCCATTCCCCTGCTGGCCTGCACTCTCACTTCCTCATACAACACATGCATGGTCTTTGTGTGATCATGAAGCGTGCTTCTTAATTTTCAGACTCGAAAGTAAAAAAAAAAAAAAAGAAGAAAAGGGACAAACGGTCGAGTCATCGTCCGCACATCAGAGAACAACACAGAGAACATGACGGCTACTGTACTGACTTTGTGTCTTATGTTGAGTCATGTTAGTCAGAACAGTGTGTGTGTGTGTGTGTGTGTGTGTGTGTGTGTGTGTGTGTGTGTGTGTGTGTGTGTGTGTGTGTGATATAGTGTGTGTGTGAGTTTGTGTGTGTGTGTGTTTGTGTGATTGTGTGAGATATAGTGTGTGTGTGTGTGTGTGTGAGATATAGTGTGTGTGTGTTTGTGTGAGTTTGTGTGTGTTTGTGTGTGTTTGTGTGTGTGTGTGTGTGTTTGTGTGAGATATAGTGTGTGTGTGTGTGTGTGTGTTGTGAGAGAGTGTGTGTGAGTGTGTGTGTGTGTGTGTTGAGAGAGTGTGTGTGAGTGTGTACCAACCCCTCCTCTACATCTCCCTCCTCTCTGCACACCTGAGTGCAGAGAGGAGGGAGAACCAGGGAGAGAGAACACTGATAACTTGTGGTCTGTAATAACTTTGGCTGATCCTGATCCTGATCCTGATCCTGATCCTGATCCTGATCCTGAACACTTTGTTCCATCAGACAGAAGAAGTGCATGGGCAGACTGCTGGAATATAACGCTGACGTCAACATCTGCAACAACGAGGGTCTGACTGCTGTGAGTTTCCTGTAATCCTCTGACTGTATTTCAATTATTCATAAATAAGTGAAGGATCGTTTTCAGTAACACTGACCGTCCCTGTGTGAACCCGCGCTGCAGATCCACTGGCTGGCGGTGAACGGCCGGACGGAGCTCCTCCATGACCTGGTCCAGCACGTGACCAACGTGGACGTGGAGGACGCCATGGGGCAGACGGCTCTGCATGTCGCCTGTCAGAACGGACACAAAACAGTGAGACTATAATAATAATATTTGTAAAGGCCTCACAGGAAAATAGACTTTTAACGAGGACAGGGTGCAAAATAATGAGAAGATGGAGAGGACAACGTTTTCTGTTTTTAAGATAATTAGGCTGAAAATCATTCAACACAGAGGGTGTGTGACCTTAACCCTCAGGCATCAGCTTAATTTACTACCCTGTTAAGTCAAAGGGTTAAATTCCTGATAATTACTCAATATTTGATCGTTTTGAGCCGGGCTGAAGTTGTTTAAGAGATTTATGCAGAAAAAAGTAGAAAAAAATATCAATCTGTTCTATTTTATAGCAGTTTTTGTAAATTGGACATTTTCGCCCTCCAATATCCAAACAGGGAACCTCATTTTAAATCTGATGCTACACAAAAACTAACAATGCATCAAAGTCAATATTTTGGATAATCTTTGACATATCCAAGACTGATTTAAAAAAAAATCCCCCATCCACCAAATATTTGTTTTATGGAAATTAACTCATTTTTGTGTTTTTTTCTTAAATAACAACAGTGACATCAAGTAATCAAACTGGCATTTAAAGGGTTAAATTCCTAAAAATTGAATATTTGTTAGTATTGAGCAGGGCTGAAGTTGTTTATGAGATTTACGCAGAAAAAAGTAGAAAAAAATATCAATCTGTTCTATTTTTATTGCAGTTTTTTGTAAATTGGACATTTTTGTCCTTAGGGGGTAGTAAACATGTTTCACAGTGTTCTGTTGAGATCTTTAAATAATCATCTTCAGTTGTTTTCTGATATGCAGTGAGTGCAGTGATGTATGCTCCAGTATGTGATGTGAGTGTGTTTTAAATTTCTCCTCAGACGGTGTTGTGTCTTCTGGACAGCGGAGCCGACATCAACCGGCCGAACGTCTCTGGAGCCACGCCCCTTTACTTTGCCTGCAGGTGATGTCATCATTACAGAGTCACTGTTGCTTTGTGGTCTCACATCATCGCATATCAACTTTGTCCATGTTGGATTTTCATTTCTTACTGTCTGACAACATTTCACAGAGGATGATTACAGAGCTTGAACTTTAAAAAAAACAAAAAATAGAGGGAGGAGATTACATGAGCCGGTCGGAGCTCACAGACTGGTTATGATGCAAACAAAGACTCTCAACACTACGGCTCCCAAAGATATACTTATTTACTTGCTATGTGCATTAAGAAACTGACCGGGCTCTTGGTCAGGTGCTGTACTAAAAGCGGGTTCAGGTGTTATTTATCACACTCTTGATGGGCATGGAAATCAAAATAGAGCAAATTCGATGGCGCTTCTAAAACAGCCTCGTCCTGCTCCAGGAACCTGGAATGAATCACAGACTAAGTAATTAATTCACAGACTGGGACACCCATATTACACCGACTCAGAATCAATATGAAAGTACAAAGACATGATGACGGCTCGGCTTAGTGATGGCACTTTGACGAGAAAAACACTCTGAAACAGGCTGATGACTGAGCTGCACCAGCACTCAGATTTACTTTATGTTAATGCAAAAAAAAAGGCTCAAATTCAGCAAAGAACAGCCGTTACATCACTCTCTTCAAAACACCAGACTGTTGACAAAAACAGCGATCTCACCTGACTGAACATGCACGCTGCTTGTACGTTTTTTCGCACGAGGCAAGCAGCTCGCATGTTCTGTGAGGTCTGTGTGTTTTTTTATCAATGGTGTCTTTGAAGAGAGTGATGTAACAGCTGTTTCTGGTTAAAAGATAAAATCATCTTCCTCTTTAACAGAACAGTCTCTCTCTCTCTCTCTCTCTCTCTCTCTCTCTCTCTCTCTCTCTCTCTCTTTTTCTGTAAAGTTCAGTCTAATCCCGCCGGGGACAAAAACAACAACTTGATCTTTCCAGAAATATGCTGCAGCCAGTGTTGGGTAACCCCGCTTTTAAAAGTAACTCATCGCTTTACCAGATAACTGCATAAAAAATAAACTCATTAGAGTTACTGCTCAACGTACTGAGAAACGTAATGCTCCTCTTGGGCTCCCGTAGTTTACATCCCCCCCCTCGTTTACTTCCTGCAGAAACACAAACAACAACAACATGGCTGCCATCAATATATTCAAAGTTACTAATTCACAGATCTCCTGGTAAAGCTTTTCATATCATTGCCTTTTTATTTGACGTTTATTAATTCATCACTTTGTGTTTTTGTGCAGTCATGGTCAAAGAGACACGGCTCAGATTCTGCTCTCTCGAGGAGCCAAATACCTCGCCGACAAGAACGGCATCACTCCTCTGGATCTCTGCGTGCAGGTGAGCCCTCAGCCCCCCGCGTTACCATAGCGATATATATAGTTTTCATTTATGCTGATCACATATGTTTACCGTGTGTGTGTGTGTGTGTGTGTACTCAGGGAGGGTACGGGGAGACCTGTGAGATCCTGATCCAGCATCACGGCAGACTATTCCAGAGTCTGATCCAGATGACGCAGAACGATGACATCAAAGAGAACATGGTACGACCCGCTCTCAAACTAGAGAAGCACGATCCACTTTTTTTTCAGCTCCGATACAGATCCCTTTACTTTAGAAATCATAATTATAGTGTTGTTGTTGTTGTTGGTATTCTGTGTGAGGCGACACAAAGCTGCAGTAATTAGGCATTGTGCTGACTTCACATAAAAACAGGAAGCAGCAGCAACAACAACTTGGAGGTTTTCAAATTAAAAGTTTTATCACATAGAAGGAGCTGTTCCATCTTGTCTGAACGTCGTCATGGAGACGGTTTGTGTACACTTCTTACAGTTCAGTCTGAACGTCTTCAAAGTGAGCTGAGAATCTGAAAAAAGTGCTGACGTGGATCAGCTCGGTCTGTCCGATATCTGATACGTAAATGATGTCATTATCGGACCAGATGCTGACAATAGATCTGATCTGTCCCATCTCTATCTCAAACATCTAGAAACAACCTGAGTTTTGAGGACTCCTTTGTCACTATATACCTGAATATTTATCAAGGTAGATTCCAGCATTGCTTGATTTTGTCAGAGCATTTCTTAGTCGGGACTTTAGAGCTCGAGTGGAGAGTTTTTATCTGAAAGTGAAACAGACTGATGTTAATACTGATGCCTCGTATGAGCTTCATAAACAAACCAGACGTTCAGAGAGAAGATTATTCCTTTCTTTGTTTCTTTTTTTATCTGTTTTTTTGTTTTTTTAAGATTCATTTTTGGCCCTTTTGTGCCTTTAATGGAGAGATAGGACAGTGGAGAGAGCTATTAGGAGAGAGAGAGAGGGGAACGACATGCAGGAAAGGAGCCACAGGTTGGATTCGAACCTCGGCTACAGGCTCCATACATGGGGCGCGCGCACGAACCACTGCGCCACCAGCGCCACCCATTTTTAATTTTTTTAATCTGTAGTTACTTTATTCATCTGACACGTTTGATGGGGGGGGTGGGGGGTACATGTCAGATGAAGTGATCAACAGCAGAAACAATCTTTTGAAATGTCCCATACCTTAGCTGAAGATCGATGAGATTCTGTTTCAATCAGAAAACATGTGTTTGGTCTGAACCTAGGTTGAGCACGTATTAGATACCTTTTCATATCACGTATTTGACAACGATACAATCTCAGTGATTTAAATGGTCGATTGTATAAAGATTGTTGAGTCTTATTTTTAACCAAAAGTTGCTGCGAGCGAGAGAGATGGAGAAGCAGCTGTGGTCCATTCAAATTCACAGGACAGCAAATACTCCAAATGCCGACCTTTTTACAGTCTTTTTTTTCTCTCATAAAGATCAAAAATGTACGTCTCTTGTAGGTGTGTCTCTTACAAATCATTTCAAGAATACCTACACACTTAATCTTAATGAAGATGACGATATTTAAAATGGTTTTGATGCTGATTAGAAATCTGAAGAGCAGCTGTCGATGTTGTGCTTTGCCTCTGGTCACTTCCTGTCAGCACCTCTGGTCACTTCCTGTCGTTGTCTCCTCCCCTCTTGATCCTCGCTTGTGTTGTTCTTACTCTCTGATGTAAGACTCTTTGGATAAGAGCGTCTGATAAATAAATTATAGAATCGTACAAACAGACAGAGAGCAGAGGAGTAGACTCTGTCTAAGTTGCACAAAAGCATTGGAACGATCAATACTTAAAAAACACTGTCTGTGTCTGTGTGTGCGTGTGCGTGTGCGTGTGCGTGTGCGTGTGCGTGTGCGTGTGCGTGTGTGTGTGTGTGTGTGTGTAGCTCAGACAGGTCTTCGAGCATGTGTCTCAGCAGAGTGACGGTCACTATCAGAGGATCCTGACCAGTCTCGCTGAAATCGCCACGACCAACGGACACAAACTGCTCAGGTAGGATGTCACATTTCTGCTTTCTTTTTCTCTTTATAAAAATTAATAACATGAAGCTGACTGCAGCAGCTCACAGGAATGATCCCCCCGCCCCCCGCCCCCCGCCCGACCTCTGTCCCTGAAATCTCTGCACACAACAATCACAAATGTCTACAGCTTCCATTTCCTGCGTCCCTGCACTGCCTCGTGTGTGTCTCAACTTTAATGTTGTTGCTTTAATCGCTGATTTTCAAATAGTTGAAGGTATAATTTCCCCGTCCCTCCTCAGCCTGTCCAGCAGTTTCGAGGCACAGATGAAGAGTCTGCTGAGAATCGTTCGTATTTTCTGCCACGTGTTTCGCCTGGGGCCATCGTCCCCGAGCAACGGCAACGACATGGGCTACAACGGCAACAAGACGCCTCGCAGCCAGGTCTTTAAGGTCAGTATATAAACACCTGAAGGCGTGTTATGAAGCTCTGAGGACGCTGCTTTAGAGGTAGGGATGTTTTTGTGCTGTTTGTAAATTTGTGAGTTCATCATTCACGCTCAAAAAATTCATTTCTCAAACCAAAACCATGTGTAAAACTTTGATTTGATCTTTGAGGAACATGAAATCATATCTGTTAAATCTGAGTCGACTTCATCCCTCAGAAGAGCAGGATCTGTTTTTATAACGACAGCGCTCTCAGTGACATCACAGCACTTCTTCCTGTGCGCTGCATGTAAAGGAATTAAAATCTGCTTATGTCAGTAAAACTGTAAAATCCTGATTGTTGATTTTTAAAGGCGCAGTGTCCATTAACAAAGTGTCACAAAACATAAAATCCTCAAACAACGGTGGACCAATCTTTATTTTATAAACTGAATCAAAACTGATAATCACCAATAAAACTTTAAAATCACTAATCTGCCGGCGTCACAGCCGTGTTTTTTTTTTTACTGTGATGTATTTTATTAGAGCGATTTGTTACCTCTCGTTTATGATATTCATTTATACCGACAGTGCTGAACAACTTATAACTTTAAAGGAAGAAATGGGGGGGGGGGATTTCCCGAGGTAAGACATACTGACGAACAGAATGCAGACCTTTAATTACGTGCACGGAGATCGTAGTGGTCGCGTGCAGACACTTTAAGCAGTCACTATATAAACGTCATTCTCTTTCTATTGGCTCAAGTTGAAATCTTCGGAGTATCTTCGGCCGTGTTCAGACATCAGCTCACTCGGATATTCTGCAGATAAAATACGAGGGGTAGAGTCCGCGCAAAACGCGTCTGTTTGCGTTCACACATAGCCTAAAGAACCTCCGGGTAGCCAAATCTCCGGAGTGTTTCAGGAGATTTCTGTATGTGTGAAAAGGGTTCAAGACAAATTATTCTGAGAGAACAGACAAGTCTATGTAATTAGCATGCTAATAAGCAACATGACCTTTATTTAAAGTGTTACCAAACTTTAAACTTCTTTTTCAACAGAATCATTAAAAACACAACGTCCTCAGACCAAAGTGTGGATGACTGCGTTATTATGTCTTTTTAATTTTTAACCTCACATGATTTAACACGATGACGTCATCAAAGAACATACAACACAGCAAAGCTAAAGACAAAACAATCTCTGCTTTCGGAGGCCTACACTACTAGAGTTTAAAAAATACTTGATGCTTTATCCTGAGATGTTTGATGAGAACAGTTTGCACATGAAGACGTATCAGCCTGTATGCATGATTCCCTGCAGTGAGATAACTGGTTGTGATTCCGTTGGTTGCAGATGTGTGTGTCACAGAAGGAGGTTAAGATGGTCCAAAAAGACGACTGTCCTGGGCAGGTTCTGCCTTCCTAGATGTGAGCTTATAGACATTTTTAAGATTTGCAGTGAATCAAAAAAAAAATACTTCTGTATGTAAAGTACAGACGGGTGACAAATCAAAGTGAGGGGATCTGGAGGTTGTGTTAAGATCTCAGCACAGCAGAACACCGGTGATAGAATTTGGAAAGGACAGCGATCTCCACCTCCAACATTTAAAACACCAAATTGAGGGAGTGTAAATGTTCTATTTGTGTGTCTATCCCTCAGCTGGAGTCCAGAGACGAGTAGAATCAATGCTGAGGAACACTAAAGTAGTTTATGTTGTTTTTTCCTTTAATTTGTCACCCGTCTGTTCATGGACATGTTGGGATTTGGGAAATATGATCTCTGGAGCCCCTCTGCAATCTTTCCTTTACATTTATTTCAACTTCTTCTAATTAATCAATACTGGGGCGCTTTAGATGGACCTGGATCTAAACAGTTCTGTTAAAATGTTACCTACTGTTTAAAGATGTTGTTATCTACAGCAAGATGCTCCTGTTTTGGAAGTGTTTGATTTAAGTTTCCCTTCAAAGGTCACATATCTAAAATCCATGTTCCTCCAATTCTAACATGTGTCTCTAGTCCATCTGTAAACCCCCCAATGATGAGAAAAGTCCATCCTCTCTGTCTTCTGCCTGCTCCACTTTTCAGAAAATGTGTACTCAAACAGGCTGTTTGGAGATTTTCCCTTTATGACATCACAAAGGGCAGTAGCCCCTCCCCAGGTGGGTGACACTCCCACAGCTAGGTGTTTGTTCTGCCTCTGAGTCTGCCTTCTCACCGTAAACAATGGGACATGGAGCGAGAAAGCACCGAGTACACCCAAGCTCTTCCAGAGAGGGGGCGTGGTCAGACACAGCTCATTTACATATTTAAAGGTACAGACACAGAAACAGCCTGTTCTGAGCAGGGCTGAAATAGAGGGGTTTATAGACATGATCAAATACAGGATCAGAGTGGATTTAGAACAAGAAACTTCACACACATGTTTTGTGGAGCTCTGAGACTTATTTACACTGAAGAAGAGGGGAGAATATGTGACCTTTAAATTAACCCCACTCTAAATCCTCCACTGTTTTATGGTCTATGTGACTCTAAATGGGTCCATCATTTACTAAATGAAAATCCTTCAGTATAGAAGGAAACATGAAACTAAAGATTGAGAAAACAAAACGTGTTTTCTTTAAAGCCTTCTCTCTCTAGCTTCTGTTTCAACTCAAATGTTATTTTTCACTATTACAAGCTGTGCAAACGATATTTTACTTATCTTTAGTCTAAAGACAAGGAAGCAAAATATATCTGGAAATCTCAAAAAATAAATCCTGTTTAAGCAAACATCTGGGCTGCTGCTAACTTACTGTTTGAAACAAAATAATACCATATGATACAGCAGAGCGCACTGATGCATTTCAGCACAATGTGTTTGATACGATACAATAGACTGAGATACCAAACAATATCAAACGTTACATTTTACGATACATTACAGTAAGGGTCATTAATCGCTGTATTTTAGTAGTTAATCGTGGTTAATCTAATTTTTAGCCGCATGTTTGAGATTTCATTATTTTGCGTTTAAAATGTTTTGTTAGGCTTTTATTTTGAAATTGAAATCAAACATTTGACTTTTTAACTTTCCTCTTTTGCTGTTTTCATCAAGTTTCGTAATGAGTTCCTTTTTCCCGTTGTTGATTTAATGTGATAACCTTTGATCAACCGGAAGTTCCTTAATTTCAAAATAAAAGCAGGGTTCTATTCAAACAGGAAGTAAGACCCTCGATCTAAAGACAGTACAAAAGTTAAAAAAAAAATTAAAATCCAAAATAATGGAATTTCACACATGCAGTTAAAAATCTGATAAATTGCAATGATCAATTCAGAGATTATATGTGATTTAAAAAACAAATCTTCCAGTTAAATTAATTCTGAAACATCAAATTGTACAAAAGGATAGATTGATATTTAACTGATGCGTGAGATACGATTTTAATTCAATTCCTTAAAACACTTTTAAAGACTCCTTTTAAAGCGACTTCATCATTTTTAATTTCCCGTTATTTTCTCTTTACATTTCAGCCCTTCTGATTTCTTTTTATTCCCTCATAACCTTCATTTCTCTTTCACTGCTCTTTGGGCTTTTATTTTCTATTCTCTGTTTTCACTGCTTCTATTGTTTGTGTTCATTTCACTGTTTTTATGTTTTTACTGCTTATTCATTTAATGCTTCATTTGTCTATTATCTTATTTCATAGCTTTTTCCCGTCTATAATGTTTCATCTCCTCTTATTGTTGTACTTCCTGTTGTTTTCATCTTGCCTTATTGTTGTACTTCCTGTTGTTTTCATCTCTTTTGATTACTCATATCTTCTCACACTTCTGGTCCTCCTGGTCTTAAAGTCTGTAGCTTGCTTTCTGCGTTGCTCTGATGATGTTTTGGGGTTTTTATGTTGGTTGGGTCTTGGTCTCGATTCTTTAGCGCTCAGAGTTATTTTTTTTGTACTTTGGGTTCTTTTGGGTTCTTCAGTGTTTTTATCTTTGATTCTGTTGTATGTCTCTGCACGTAGGTCAAAGCACTTTGTAAAATCGTGTTTTCAAAAGTGCTACACAGATAAATGTTTTATTTATATTATTAAATTATTATTATAAAACACTGATTCAAACAACAAGATGCAATCCTTCACAGTTTGATCTGATACGACACAATACAGTTCTACATGATACGAGATGATATACTGTAATATACTGTATTATTTGCTCCACGGTATTTTTTATTTGTTTTGAAATCAAACATGTTAACGACTATCACATACTCATCACATCCACAGATAACACATTCTGAAAATGTTCATACTGAAATCTGACTGAAGCCTAGAAATCGGGATCGTATTCTCTGAATTTGACCTTTGTTGAATTCTTCACTTTGTAGACTTTTTTTTTCGAAATGGTCTAAACTGGATTCAATGTTAAACCTGCTAGGTCACTTCTCTCTTGTTAAGCCTCTCTCTCCCTCTCTCTCTCCCTCTCTCTCCCTCTCTCTCTCTCTCTCTCTCTCTCTCTGCGTTTTTGTTTTGAATTCCACCCTTCCTCCCCCTCCCCCCGCTCTCCGTCTCTCTGCAGCCGCTGGAGCTGCTGTGGCACTCCCTGGACGAGTGGCTGGTGCTTATCTCCACAGAGCTGGACAGGAACAGGAAGAACCCATCCTCATCCTCCTCCAGCAGCGAGATCGCCTCCCTGCTCCTCAAACAGCGGGAGGCCGACCCCTCCGCCTCCGCCTCGGCGCCGAAGCTCCCGTCCCTGCTGGACCCTCAGATCGTCATGGAAACAGAGGTGTACCCCGACGGGGAGGACGTGATCTCCATGACGGCCAATCGTCTCAGTGCGGTGATCCAGGCCTTCTACATGTGCTGTTCCTGCCAGATGCCGCAGGGGTCAGATCTCATACTGTTTGGTTACCACGGCAACAAAAATAGAAGTAGTTGGCAAACAATAGTTGGGTGTTTTCTTGTGTTGTTTTTAGTTTTTCAAGGTTTATTTTTGCGCTTTTTAGGCGTTTATTAGAGAGACAGAAGAGTGGGTAGAGTCAGAAATCAGGCAGAGAGAAGGAACAGGTCGGACTCGAACCCGGGCCACCCTGGTGGAGCACTACAGCTTCCGTACATAGGGCGTGTGCGCTAACCAGTAGGCTAACGGCACCCCCACATTCTTGTTTTTAAATACCTTGTTTTTTAAGGAGGTGTAAGCACATCCAACTATCTCAAGGTTGACGAACGATTACTTAAAAAGAAAGAAATCCTGCACACTACTCCTGCTAAGTATCACCAATTAATTAAGTCTCTCTCTCTCTCTCTCTCTCTCTCTCTCTCTCTCTCTCTCTCTCTCTCTCTCTCTCTCTCTCTCTCTTTCTTTCTTTCTTTCTTTCTTTCTTTCTTTCTCTTGCAGCAAATTTTGGTCAGAATCATAACTGAAAAATGTGCATTTGACACAAAAGCACAGTTTGTTATTTTGGGGGGTCGATGATATGCTTGTCTGGTGGATTTTTTTCTTCGAGCTGCAGCCTCGACCAGTGAGTCAAAAAGTAAATATCGGACCCCGCGTTCAGGGCTAATCCAGACCCCCGAGCATTTTAAAAATGGGGCTCAGATTGTAAAATAAGGAACAGCCCTTAAAGATGTGAAAGCTTCTTGTGTTATGACTGCAGTAAGACAGCAGACATAAGAACATAGACTTTGAAAAGCTAAACAGTGAGAAGTGAACCCCCTTCCTCATCCAGAAACACCAGAGTTAACCGTGAACTCACCTCCATACCTGGATACAATCCTGACTTCATAGTGCGACCCCCCCATGTGTTCAGCCATGTGCATGCCGTGTTGACTGACGGTGTCTTTTCTGTTAAACCTACTCGATGGGAAGAAACTGATTTGAATCCTGCGTTGACAGAGAGACTACCACTCTTTGATCAGCTGAGGCTGCTGTTTCCTCAAGAGGAGAAACAATTACAGATAAAAAACCTACTTCTTTAGAGACTCTCTACATCGATGTGCTGCATCAATAATATCACTTTTTCCTCGTCTTTCTGTTTTTCCAAATCTTGATAAATCTTCCACTGTGAGCCTCGTCTTCCTCGTATGTTTATCTCTCTTTGATGGAAACCTCTTCAGGTCCTTAATGATTCACATTTAGATCATTAGAGCTGTTTTTGTGACACAACAAGCAGACGGCAGAGAACTAGTGGAGACGAAGGCCGAGCTTTTGTCTGGGCTAAAAAGTTGCACTTGATCGCACCGCAAAGACTACAGCCGACAGCCAACCACCACGTACGATCTGCTCATGTGTGAGAGGAAATAACTCTCCGTGCCAGCAGCGGGCGGTAGTCCATTATTATGATACGAGAAGACCATTTTCACACCGCTGTCAGTGACCTCTCGTATTATAGGTCGCCTACTAATGGAGAATAATGTCTGATAAACAGTAGAAAATGGCGCTGGCGTTGTCAGCTCTTGGTCTTTTAGTGGGAAAAGAAGAGGAGGAGGAGACAGATAAGGAGAAACCACACTAATGGGTGAAAGCATGGATACTACAGCGGCGTGCTCAAGGGGCTTTACTGAACCTGAGAGGAGAACCCGAGAGAAATGAAACCTCCCAACAGCCAATCAGAGAGATTCCTTCAGATCGAAGGGAACGATTAAAAAAGTCAAGATGTTGTCACTGTTGTCCGTATCTTCTCCTTCTCACTCACTCCTCCTCTCTCTCTCTCTCCCCTCAGAATGACGTCCCCTCGTTTCATCGAGTTCGTCTGCAATCACGACGAGGTGCTGAAGTGTTTTGTAACCAGGTGAGTCAGCGTGGCTCGGCGCCCATCCTTCAGCCTCCTCCTCACACATACAGAGCCCCAGAGACGGACTGACTATTGATCCACAAACTTCCCTCCACTTAGTTTGTTTCCACTTCTAACCTCTTTGTTCTCTCTCCCTTCCGCCTGTCTAGTTTCTCTTTTTTATCTCTGTGCCTTTCTCCGTTTCAGGAATCCAAAGATCATCTTTAACCACTTCCACTTCCTGCTGGAGTGTCCTGAGCTGATGTCACGTTTCATGCATATCATAAAGGGACAGGTAAGACACAAGGACATATTTAATTCAATGTGTTCAGGGACTTCATGTGGAAGTACCTGATGTGGAAACTTAATCGAGCTCGTGGTTTGCTCCATAACGTCTTTGTATAACATCTTCAGTATTTCAGAAACGCTGTGAGATCATAATTTTACATTTTGCACAATCTGAAGGATTGAACTGATTAGAAAAATCATGTCTGAAGACTAAAGTTTACTAAAACTTCATTTCCAGTTCAGTGAATGCAACATCTGTGCTAAAATCCAAACTGTTTCAGTCTGAGAGAACAGAGCGGTCTGTGATCGATTAGTGGACAGTCTCTGGTTTGATTTTGGGGTCATGTATTCAGTCAGATAAAACGGTCAAGAGCTCAAATTTGTTCATTCTTTGATTTTTTTTTGATACCACATGTTTTCAAACGAGACAAACTCGACAATCAAAGATTCCCCAAACCTCCCTCAGCTCAGTGTGCACCATCGATCCTAGATAGATATCACACCCATTTCAAATCCTAACATTCAACTCTATAAGTCTAAATGATGGACCCTGCAGTGCGGCTAGTCTACCTAAATGATTGTGCCACAGATGGACAGAGGGGGCGCTTCCATTCTGAAATGATTAACTAGCCTTTTGGCATCAGTGAAGTCTGAAAACTTCACAGTCATCTTTTAACCCAAAGCTTGTTTGAGTGAAAGAGAGAGCTGTGACTAGATTGCACAAATATGTTGCAAATAATTATGTGCAATTTAGTAAGAGTGCAGGAGTGTGCCTTCAACTTATGGTAAAGAAAAAGAAGAAATTATTCAATAACGGGTACTAGAGCTCAGAATGTTTGGACGACTGACGATTAGATTTGTTTCTGATTCTTGGGGTCACGATTTGATTGAGAATCTATTTTTGATTCAAAAGGATTCATGATTCAAAGTTTATTTTTGAATTGGTCCTTCAGGATCTACTCCAGTCATCTGTGAGACTGACTGAACTTCTTGCTGCTCCATTTGGTATTCTACTGAGTTAAAGAGCTAGCATTAGCATTTAGCGGGGAGTGACTGATTAGCTAAAATGTTTTATATTTTTTGGAAGTTATGAGTCGATTTAAAATCTCAGAAGATAAGAATCTCGATTTTTACATAGATAGATTTTTCCCCACCTCTATCAAGTACACATGGTTTCTATTTTCCTTCAAATCCAGAACCGATATCGTTGATTTTTACTGGAATTGTATTGAAGTTTAATATTTTGGTAACACAGTCAAACTGAGACTCGACATGCATGAAAACTGAAACTGTTCTTTTGGCTGAGCAATCAAACCACAGTTATAATTCCAGTTAAATATTCTCGCTCTTTTTTTTTTCCCTCTCTAAGCGTATCCTGAGTCACTTCCTGCATATTTCAGCTCCCATAGTGAAAACGACCCTGCACTCCTCCTCCTCCTCCTCCTGAAGTCGTTACCTGCCTCCTCGTCCTCTGCTCCGACGGCTCCTTCACAGTCGTCCGTGTTTCTTTATGTTTGTGGACTTTTATGGAAACGACTTTGAAAGTCCTCCGTCTTTCTCCTCGGATCATTTAACAAAGTTACAACCAACGGCGATAACACTTGTCTTAAGTTCCATTTACACGGCTTCATAAATTTTAAGTGCAGCTCGTGCGTTGTGCGCCCCGTCTCTGTCTCTCTCTCTCTCTCTCACTCGTCGCTCTTCACATTGGAGCTGCGGCGTTCGAGCCTCGTTACCTCGTGGATTATGGCTCGCCTGGGAGAAGGCCCGTGTTTTAATTACAGACTTTAACCTGTGAATTTGATTCCTTCTGCTGATTCGTCTCTCTGTACGCCCGCAGCCCCGGGGGAGGAGGAGGAGGAGGGGGAAGCGGTTCTCTCTCTCTCTTCCACGTTCATCCTTCACTCTACCTCCAACGCGCGCAGAACAAAGGCATATATTATGCAAATAGACCCCATGCCTCAGCTCGCTGTTACAGACGAGGGATTCTGCTCTGAAAGCTTTCCAAAGCCGTCTGTTGAAACGGAAAAAAAACTCAGAGTGTGAGGAGTTGAAAGCACAAGTGAAGTGGTAATTAGTGGAGGGAAAGTGCTGCGCAGTGTGGGATGAAGTTCTTGTGTTTTTTTTTGTTTTTTTTTACCTCCTCAGCCCTTCAAGGATCGCTGTGAGTGGTTCTACGAGCATCTGCTGGCCGGCCAGCCCGACTCCGACATGGTTCACCGTCCGGTCAACGAGAACGACATCCTGCTCATCCACAGAGGTACACAACATGTCGGGCAGCACCGCTCAACGCTCGCACTGCTCATCATGCGTGGAGAGAACATGATGTCAGAGTCCGGTCACACATGTACTTTACAGACAGATGTTGTGATCCTCTCTGAAAGCTTCAAATCCAAGCTGCTTCTTAAAGAGTGGAGTGGAAATAAAGTATTTAAAACCTTAGTTTTGTATACTTAGGGAGGCAGAAGCTCAGTCTGTAGAGAGGGTTGCCGGTTCAAGTCCCTGTGCAGGTCAACTCTGGAATTGGTCTAGTAGCTGGAGAGGTGCCGGGCAGTGTTAATCTTGTCAATTAAATAAATGACGAAAATATTCGTTAGTCAACTGAGACGATGACGAGATGAAACTCCGCTATTTGACGATTTAATAAATGATATTACTTCATCATCTAATTGACGAAAATGTGACGAAACAAAAACTACATTACAAGTGAGGATTATCACTTGATAAAGAAGTGTTACACCCCCTCAGCTGTTCTAAAACCATTGTAAACCATAGCAGACTTCATCAAAGGTGTGTGTGTGTGTGTGGTGAGTGTAACAATGTGTAGCCTGGAGTCTGGAGCCTCTCGCCTGCAGGTCCGTGAAGCCCCGCCCCCTGGAGCTTCTGATAATGAAAATAAAAGCTTGCGTCTCATTTCGTCGACTAAAATGATGTGCAATTTTAGTCGGTGACTATTTGACTAAATTAAATCAATAACAAATGACTAATATCTGAATAAATATAAAAGACATTTTCGTCAGGAGACTATGACTAAATTAGAAAATGGTGTGAAGATAAACACTGGTGCCTTCCTGAGCACTGCTGAGGTGCACTTGAGCAAGGCACAGAACCCCAAACAGCTCGGGTACTCCTTCATGTGCAGCCCCCCCCTCCCCCCTCCCCCCTCCCCCTCCTGTCCACAGGATCCTGTTTGTGCAACAACAGAGTGTAAAAGTAATTCCCCCTTGTGGGATTAATAAAGTTTATAAAAATGTTTACATAAGTAATCGGTACTTTGGCCTTGCTCCATTTGAAGACTTGTTGTATTTTATTTATTTATTTGTAAATTTATTTCATTCAAACAAACAATAAAGTTAAGAAAAACAAACAAACATAAAATCTCAAATTTTGAATGAAAAGGAGCAGAAAGAAGATTAATCTTATAATATCTGCCCCTCTTTCATAAAGCATTAATTAAAACAAAACACTTCTACCAGCACCGGGGGGGGGGGGGGGGTCTATAATGTTAACCCAACTCAAAGTTCTTGTTTTTGTCCCTGATTGTTATTCTAAGAGTGTAACAACATAACAGAAAGCATCCCTGAACATTAATCCATCCCGAGCACTGAGCAACAATTAGCAAAGTTACAAGAACAAACTTCCTTTAAGAGGCAGAAACCTGGAGCAGAACCAGACTCATGATGAACAGCTGAGACTGCTGAATGAGAGGGAGAGACACTAACAGAGCAACCTGTCCACCTAGCGTTTTTTCCGGGCAGAAGAGCGTTGTCTGTGTGCTCGAGGGTATTTACATGAAGTGTTTGTGCTCTGAGAAGAAAAGCGCTGCAAGTCTGTCCTGTCTCTATGACAACAGTTTGTTTACAAGAGATCGTTTATTTCCCGAGCAGACACGGAGCAAAGAGGATGTCGGTAGAAGACACGATCCATAGGAGGCTTAACTACAGGGAATATAGAGCACCCGTGACGTCAACAGCGCCTTTCTGAAAAATTGAAAGATTTTCAACTTGAACGCTCAGAGCAGCCGCACAAAAACGGCAGAGCGCTAGGCTTTTCATCCAGACGGTTGCTTTCTGCTGTGAAACGTGTCTATTGTCTTACTATTTTGCTGTCTTTATTTTTTTTATTTTTTACTGTGTTTTGGAGTTGTTGTCCTGACCTTGTCTGTTTGTTATGTGTATGTCACCAGTTTGTCACTCTATTGCATCGAATACAAAAAACAAGTGAAAAAAGACGCTGAGAAAAAAACGCTAAGTGGACACGGGGCCTAATATAGATTTATAGCTACAATGTCAGTAATAATGATAAAAGTCTGTGTAGTGTTAGCATTAACAGCTAAGTATGGAAACGTCCTGATCCTCCTAATATTACCATGAGCAACTGTAACAAGAAGCGAAGGATCCTTCAGGAGAGTGATACTAAGGATATATGTTCCTGTTTCTCTGTCAGACTCTATCTTCAGTAGCAGCTGTGAGATGGTTTCAAAGTCCACCAACGAGAAGCTCAAACAGGGCATCGCTGTCCGGTTCCACGGAGAGGAGGGCATGGTGGGTTCTGCATCCTGTGTCTCTGTGTCATTACATGAAGCTCCTTCAGTGTCACAGTTAATCCTCAGCTGTGATCCCGTGGTTGTTTTGTGTTTCAGGGTCAGGGTGTGGTGCGGGAGTGGTTCGACATCCTGTCCAATGAGATCATTAATCCTGACTACGGACTGTTCACGCAGTCAGCTGACGGTACGAGAAGTTCTCCTCAACGTCTGTGTGTGTGCGTGTGTGTGTGTTTTCAAAAATGCACAAAACTCCTAAAATTGTCTAGAAATCTCTCATGTTTAAAAACTGTGTGTGTGATTTATCCACAGGCACCACTTTCCAGCCCAACAGTAACTCGTCAGTGAACCCAGACCACCTGAACTACTTCAGGTTTGCGGGTCAGATCCTGGGTCTGGCTCTGTATCACAGACAGCTGGTCAACATCTACTTCACCCGCTCCTTCTACAAACACATACTGGGTAAGAAGAACACACCTGATGACAGACGAGGGTTAGAGCAGTGTGAAGGTCTCAGGCCGGTCTCAGCAGACGTCTGTTCTCCAACGAGTCGAGGTGTCTGTCTGACCTGAAAGATGTAAAACGAAGTGTGCTTTGAATTATTATTTTCTTAATTCCGTATCACTCCGTATAAATCAGGACTGGAGCGGAAATATTAGCCTATGTCACAAGAACATCTCTGCTTTCATTAAATTAAAGGTGACATATTCTCCTCCTTTTCAAAAAGTGTAAATAAGTCTCAGAGCTCCTCAAAACATGTGTGAAGTTTCTTGTTCTGAATCCACTCTGATCCTGTATTTGATCATGTCTATAAACTCCTCTATTTCAGCCCTGCTCAGAACAGGCTGTTTCTGTGTCTGTACCTTTAAATATGTAAATGAGCTGTGTCTGACCACGCCCCCTCTCTGGAAGGGCTCAGGCTTTCTCGCTCAAACAGGGCAGAACCAACACCTAGCTGTGGGAGTGTCACCCACCTGGGGGAGGGGCTACTGCCCTTTGTGATGTCATGAAGGGAAAATCGCCAAACGGCCTGTTTAAGCACACATTTACTGAAAAGTGGAGCAGGCAGAAGACGGAGAGGATGGACTTTTCTCATCATTGGGGGGTTTGTAGACAGACTAGAGACACATGTTAGAGTTAGAGGAACATGGTGAAGTGGATTTTAGATAATATGTGACCTTTAAGGAAAAAAACGGGAACTATTTTAGTCAAGAAATAATCCACCCCTCACTGAAAAACGACTTTACTGTGTCAGGCTCTTCCATGATCGTGATAGGGTATATGAAACTAACTCCTCCCCCTTCATGAGACCACGCTCACACTCGGTTTGCGTATGTGTGTGTGTGTGTGTTCTCCAGGTATCCCAGTGAACTACCAGGACGTGGCGTCCATCGATCCGGAGTACGCCAAGAACCTGCAGTGGATCCTGGACAACGACATCAGCGACCTGGGCCTGGAGCTCACCTTCTCCGTGGAGACGGACGTGTTCGGGGCGATGGCGGAAGTCCCGCTCAAACCCGGAGGAACGAGCATCCTGGTAACCCAGGACAACAAGGTGAGTCGCTAAAGGACACGGTCAGAGGTGTGACTGGACCTTTACTCTAAGCTGTATCGCAGAGCCTCTATATGACATCATAAACGTCACCAAGTCCTTTAAAGTTGAATTTATTTAAAAGTAACTGAACACTTACTGTAGATTTTATCTGTTAAAAGTCAGACGAGAACTTAAAGTTGTCTCTACAGATTAAAGTTTGGAGTTTTTTTTGTGTCTGAAGGTGTCGTTAATGAGCGGCTGAAGTTCCCCTGCGGTGTTTTTCCTCCAGTTCGTCTCCTGTGAGCGATTGATTTTTTCTCCTGCAGCCTGGAAGCTCCTAATTAGAGCGTGCAGTACCAGAGCCGACCTGCAGAGGGCACTGTTATCTAAGGCATGCAGAGAGACAGGCTGTGGATGAGCTCTGACTCCTTCTCCTGTTTTATCATCTGTCTCGTGTGCGTGTGCATGTGCATATGTGTGTGTGTGTGCGTGCGTGTGTGTGCGTGTGTGTGCGTGCGTGCGTGCGTGTGTGCGTGCGTGTGTGTGTGTGCGTGTGTGTGTGCGTGCGTCAGGCGGAGTACGTCCAGCTGGTGACAGAGCTGAGGATGACTCGAGCCATCCAGCCTCAGATCAACGCCTTCCTGCAGGGTTTCCACACCTTCATCCCCCCCCTCGCTCATCCAGCTCTTCGACGAGTACGAACTGGTGAGACTTCCTCCTCTTCCTCCTCTCCTTTTCCTCTTCCTTTTCCCTCTCCCCTACCTCACCCCATACTTTCAGACCTTTCTCCTACTCATTTTTCTACCTCTAAGTTTTCCCCTTCTTCTTCTTTCTCCTCTTCATTCACCTCCTCCTCCTATTTCTTTTCTTCATCCTCCTCATGTTCCTCTTCCACCTTCTCTCCCCCCTCCTCCACTTACTCGTGTCCTCCTTCCCTCTGCTTTCTTTTTCTTTCTCCCCCTCCTCCTGTTCCTCTTCTACGTCTTCCTCCTCTTCCTCAGCCTTTTCCTCTACCTCCTCCTCATCTTCCTTGTCCTTCTTTTTCCTCTTTTGCCACCTTCTCCTCCCCCTTTTCTCCTGCTTCCTCTTCTTCCTCCTCCTATTTGACCTTCTCTTCCTCCTCCTTGTCTAATCTGTTGTCCTCATACTCCCCTCTCTCCCTTCTTCCTCCCTTTCTTCCTCCTCTTCTCCCTGAAGCTCCCTTTACTCCTCCTATTCTTCTTACTCTTCCACCTTTTTTATTTCTTCCTCCGCTTTTTCCTTCTCCTGATTTCCCTCTTCTTCCTCCTTCAACTTCTTCCTTTCCTCTTCCTCCTCATTTTAATTTTCCTTCTCCTTTCTTTCTCCTCTTCTTCTTTTGCCACTTTCTCCTTCTCCTCCACCTCATTTTTCTCCTCATCCTTCTTCCTCTACTTTTCCTTTCTTCCTCTTTTGCCACTTTTTCCTCCCACTTTCCTCTTTGACCTCCTTCTCTTCCTCCTCCTCGTCTAATCTGTTGCCCTCTCCTCTTTGCCCCGCCCCCTCTGATCTGATTCGGCTGATTGATTAGCCTTGTTTTGCTGGGGGGTGGGGTTGACCTTGAAGCCCCTCCCTCTTGTCTGACTCCATTAGAGTTTTTTTCTTTCCGTGTGTGTCGGCAGATTTGCGCCCTCGCTGTCGGGAGGATCGATAGATAGCATGATGATTATCCCGTCCTGGATTTGTTGGACATGTCTCGGTCATTCTGTCATTGCAGCTCGACACAGCTGTTCGACTCGGATCAGCTGCAGTCAGCAGAGTGACACCCTGAAGGATAAAGAGGAGGAGAAAGATTTCAGATTTCACTGTCAAAGACCCTCGTTTCAAATCAAACCGATAGCTCCTAACATGTTTGATGTGCGGGGAACAGCTCGGGGTATAGGCGATAAAACTGTTACATCATTGGAGACACTTTTTACCCAATGAAGGATTGAAGACAGTTGATGAATTCTTGGAGCCTAAATATAAAAACAAACACTTTGAAACATTAACCACACCCGACAAAACCTTTGGATAAAACGAGTTAAAGGGATCCTTCACCCGTTGAAACATGAACCTGTATTGACATTGGGTCATTTATGTAGAAATGTGAAATACATTTTGAAGTTGGAGCCTTCTTGGCTGAGAAAAGGCAGAAAGTGTCTTTTTGGCTCGTGTGGATGAAAGACACCAAATCCCAGAATGCACAGCACCGCAGGCCACTCCCACTAAGGTCCGAATGAGAATCAGAAATACTTTGTTTATCCCAGAGGGAAATTCGATCGATACAGTTTCTCTAAAATATACAATATAGCAGAAGAAATATAGAAATAAAAACATTTACAGACATATTTACTTCAACACATGAGGACGTTTCCTCAACTGATTCAGAGATTTCTTCCAGAGTTGATCTTGGAAAATCCTGTCAGAAAACAGACTCTATGTCTGAGTCCATAGACAAACAGTGAGAGCACCGACACTACCAGCTCGAGCCGGTTTCTAATGATACAAAACTTAATGCAAATGGGTGAAGTATCCCTTTAAACACAACATGCAGCACAGTAATGATTTAATCCTGTATTCATGATCTTGCGTGCGTGCGTGCGTGCGTGCGTGCGTGCGTGCGTGCGTGCGTGCGTGCGTGCGTGCGTGCGTGCGTGCGTGCGTGCGTGCGTGCGTGCGCGGGGACCGGGACACCGCAGATTCACTCGTTGTGGATTCAAAATGAATGTTGTTAAGGCGTAATGAAGGCGGAGCTTCTATATGGTGCTGTTGTGAAATGCCACTATGGGAAGTGTTTTTGATGGAGTTGCTGTGTTTTTGTTTAAGTTGATCGTAAGTCACGGTCATTCTCAAAGCAGGCCCAGGACTGTGTGCAGCGTTTTTGTTTACCCGCACTGCGCCCCCCTGTCATAACTCTTGGCCCCCCCCAATAAAAATGACAAGAGAACCTTTTGGAAACTGAGGAGGTTAGGATGTCTTTACAAACTTGTCGTTTTTTTTTATATAATTTATCATTTAGAAAAAGGTCAAACATAACGTGAGGATCGTCCCACTGACTTTGGAACAAAGTTAAAAAGTCAAAAATTAAATCTAATTAAAAAAAAATGTAAATCCTCTTTAATTGCCATGACAACAGAATTATCCAGTATGGAGATGGAAGCAATGAACTCAGAACTTTTTAGGAATAAACAGGTACAAACTATGTGAAGCTACATGAAGACGAGCGCCGCTTTTGGATTTTAAATGTAAGAAAGAAAAAAAAGAGAGAGCAGGGATATCAGATCAGTATTCAGAGGACAGGTTCTCTGAGTTTAGGTTCGTGAATCATTATCGTTTTGGGGGAAAAGTGTCTGATCTGTGTATGTTTCAGAATAAACGTGTGGGAAAGGTCGATCCTAAGATGACTTATTTATCAAACCAGAGGTGGACGGGGGTCGGTTTGTTGAGAGGAAAACAGATGCTGCGACTCGTTTCAACGTGTTTTATGCTGGAGTATGTCTTCATGCTGTTTGTGTGTGTGTGTGTGTGTGTCTGTGTGTGTGTCTGTGTGTGTCTGTGTGTGTCTGTGTGTGTCTGTGTGTGTGTGTGTGTGTGTGTGTGTGTGTGTGTGTGTCTGTGTGTGTCTGTGTGTGTCTGTGTGTGTCTGTGTGTGTTTGTGTGTGTGTGTGTGTGTGTGTGTGTGTGTGTGTGTGTCTGTGTGTGTGTCTGTGTGTGTGTGTGTCTGTGTGTGTCTGTGTGTGTCTGTGTGTGTGTGTGTGTGTGTCTGTGTGTGTGTGTGTGTGTCTGTGTGTGTGTCTGTGTGTGTCTGTGTGTGTCTGTGTGTGTGTGTCTGTGTCTGTGTGTGTGTGTGTCTGTGTGTGTCTGTGTGTGTCTGTGTGTGTCTGTGTGTGTCTGTGTGTGTGCGCAGGAGCTCCTGCTGTCGGGGATGCCAGAGATCGATGTGCAGGATTGGTGCAGGAACACCGAGTACACCAGCGGCTACGACCGAGAGGAGCCGGTCATCCAGGTGAGATGTTCACCTGTCCGCCTGCTTGTGACTCACTTTCATATCTGGGTTTTTTCAAATCTTTGGTGTGGGTTGTTACCAGATGACAACCTTCTTTTTTCCTATTGATGATAAACTTTTTTAATGTCAGACAATAAAGACAAACAGTTGGCTCGTAACTTCGGCACCCAGAGATCCGTATTATTTATATCATAAGAGATTCTGTTTGTCATCAAACCGTCTGACAGAAGGTAAAATATGATGTCAGCTGTTTCTTTGGTCATTATGTTTAAGAGCCAGATTTTCCCACAAGGTTCATTTTTACACTTTATGTGACATTGGCCTTAAAGGACCAATCAGTGAGATATCTACTGAGCTTACTATCTGATCATTAAGGAAACATGCTATGTTGAAGTGCTGGCTTCTCTGACAACAATGCAGCAGCCAGTATGTCCTCCTTCTAACTTTAGATTCTGCTCCTGAATGCTCTGGATTTGTTTGGACCAGAGAAGGTAGGAGCTTTTAAGGCGCCCCTCCCACACGGCCGTTTTGGACGCCCCTCGGTTTGCCAGATATGAGGGCAGTTATCAGGTCAAACCAACAAGAGAAGTGGTTCAGATAGAAGTGATTGTACCCGACCTAAAAAGCCTCTGCATGTTTCTAATAAGCTCCACGAGCAGAAACGTGCTCAAACTAGGATCAATATTGGAGATGCTTTTGAAAAATGGAGAGAGGACTGTGTGAACAGCCAGGTCAGGAGAATATCCGATATTTTCAGGAGTGCATATGTGAAAACGGCTTAAGATCCAAAAATAAATAAAAAAATTGGGCCTTTATTTTAAAATATGATGAGTTCAAATGTCAGTGTACTTTCCTTCTTCATGTGTTGATGTTTTTCCTGCTCGCTCGTCAACACTTGAAGGAAATCGTTTGATTCCTGCACAGAATTTTTTGGAGCATCATTTCACTTTTTGGACACATTGATAAAAAAAATCAAACAAAACATGCGGCCTCTGTGTTCGATGATCTGATTGGATGTCCAGACTTTAAACAGAAAGATGTGGGCGTGATGTTTCAGAAGCTGGTCTCTCTGCTCGCCTCGTCCCTTATTGGTCTGTGTTTTTCCTCCCGCAGTGGTTCTGGGAGGTGGTGAAGAGCCTGACTCAGGAGGAGCGGGTCCTCATGCTGCAGTTTGTCACTGGAAGGTTTGTTCTGCTGGACGTCCTCTCTGCTTCTTCACAGAGTTTAAATAAAAGTAAAGATAGTAAAGGTTTTCCTTTCTGCATCAGTTCCAGGGTTCCTCACGGGGGCTTCGCTTTCCTGATGGGGGGCAGCGGTTTACAGAAGTTCACAGTCGCCGCCGTGCCGTTCTCCTCCAACCTGCTGCCTACCTCCAGCACCTGGTAACCACGGTTTCTATTAATGAGGTCACAAATCATTCCGTCACACGGGAGTCTGCTCTTTATTTGTGTTTTTTTTAGATTTGTATTATTTTAATCCTCTGTTTTTTGACTTGGTGGTCAGTTTTCTTTTTCTCAACTTGTTTGAGGCTGCTCCTGAATTCTTCCCCGAGTCGCTCGTTCATATTACCTGCTGCACTTAAGCAACTCACCCAGAACACATCAGGAAACATTTTCAGGAGTTTTCTGTGAAAACAACAAAAGATATCTGGGATGTTTTTTTTCAGCTTATAACAAAAAAAAAACATTTTCTCGGTTGTTTTCTAAAAATAAATAACGATTTTAATTAATTTTATATCATTTGGGTCCGACCGGTTGTGAATTTCCAGAGAAAATGTGCACCCTCTACAAAACAAAACACCTGGGTTTGATGTTTACATCCTTTTAAAATGTATCTTAAAGGACAGAAAATGTGCACCATGTTCCCTGATTTGTTTCCTTAAATATGAATTTCATAATTTATTTTTTGTGTTTTATTTCTGGGCCTTTTTGACTTCATAAGATAGGACAGATGAAGAGAGACAGGTGTTGGGAGGAGAGGGGGGGATGACGAGGTTGGATTCAAACCAACAGGCGCTGCGATGAGGACTACAATCTCTGTACATGGGGCGTGACGTGAACACTAGGCTATCAGCGCTCCTGGATTGAATAATTTCTGATAAGATAAATTTATCATCACTTCAGAGCATTTTCAGGACGTTTGGATTCAGTGCTGCCAAATTATTTACTATTGGAGAGAGAAATTCTCCTTTCCAAAAGAGAGAAACACAACCTAAAGAGTCAATTATTAAGAAGGAAATAAACATCAAGGTGTTTGAACTCAGACGTTGAATATGATCCAAAAAAATCTGCAGAGAAGTCCGGGAGCTTGAGTTCAGAAAATAATGGAGTTTCTGAAAAATGGATCCATGGTGCTGATCGAACCCTGAATCCATTTTCCTACATTTTTTGAGTACATCGAACTCTTCTCTTCCTTAAACTTAAAGGAGACTCTTGAACTGAGTGTGACTAAAGCAGACTGAAGAGTGCTGCCAACATTTACAGTTTTTACTCTTTAACTCAAGAATTAACTGAATAAATAGACCAACGCAGAGACTATAGGAGTCACTCTGCTGTGTTAGAGAGTGAGTTAATGACCACTAGGGGGCAGTGTGTTGCTTCAGGTGTGGGAGAGGTCTCTGCATGACGGGGTCTGCAACAGGTGGTCCATCTCTCTGCAGGTCTTCCTCCCTGACTCTGTCCTCTTCCTCTCTCTCCTCCCCTGCAGCATCAACATGCTGAAACTCCCTGAGTACCCGAGCCAGGAGGTCCTCAGAGACCGGCTGCTGGTGGCGCTGCATTGTGGGAGTTACGGGTACACCATGGCGTGATGGCCGCCATCCACTTCCTGCTGCACACACTGTTTCTCTGCTGCTGCTTCTGCTGGACGAAGAAGGGAAATCCAGGTTCTTCTTTTTACGAGCTGCTGGATGGAGAGGGACAACAGACTGAATGAGACCAGGACCTGGATCTCACCTCGTACCTGTGCCAAAACTTCTGTTTGATTGATTGAAGCTGGTATCTGGTAATATATGCAAAAAAAAAAAAAAAAAAAAAGTTTTCATGCATTTAATTATTACAAATCAGCATTTATAGCATAGATCCTGTTTGGATAACTGAATGTAGATGATCGATTACCTGGATTAAAAACAGAATCATTTATTATCAATCTAAAGGCATCATATCCATGTCGTAGATTTGCAGGTTTCTTTAAGGTGTCGTCATCAGACCGACATAAAAAAAAGATCAAAGTTGACGCTGCTTTTGCCTCAATTTAAAAAAACATTTTCACTATTTTTGAAACACAGCGCCCGACTTTGACATATTTTAAAGTCTTGATGACTAAAAGGCAGAAAAGATCTTTGGTGGTCTCCAGTAGATTTCTGCAGCCTGCAGCAGTGAAACAGGCTGTGAGGGCTGCAACGTAATGCCTCATCAATCAAAAGGGAGTCCCACTAAAAGTTCTGTTTTTTTGTCCCTGACAGGCTCAGATTGTTTTTCTGAGTGTCTGAGAACATCACAGAAATGGAAGATGGCTTTACTCTCTTCAGAGACACCAGACTCTGTTCACAACATCAGTCCTTTCACCTCACAGAAAACAGGACTGATCTGATTCACTGCTGCCTCCATCACTTAGTTTGTTTCTCTCTGTAAACTTGTCGGACACTTGAAAGCTGTTTTCACTCAAACACTCCTAAAAAAAATCTCTAGAGCCTTTTGGTCCTGAAGATATATTTTTTATATCTAGTAATACTTTTACAATTCGGGCTGCACGATATTAGAAAGACTCAGATTGCGATATCTTTTCTTCCTGCAATATTTGTTAGCATTTAAAAAGAGTCTTCTATACGATGCTATAATGAGAATATCTGTCTTTATATCAATGCTACGTGTAGGTGAAGAGAATCTCAATGTGAACTAAAGAGAGGAGAAGAACAGGAAACATAATGCAGCAGGTTCATTAGAGCACGGAGATCGTAGCGGTGGCGTGCAGACAGTCATAGGATAGAAACGTCACCACCCCCTCCTATTGGCTCGAGGTGAATTCTCCTGATAATATCCTGCTGCGTTCTCACATCAGCTCACTCTGACTTTCTGCTGAAACGATACTAGTGGTCTGTCAGGAGAAATTCAGGGTGAAGTCTAGGTGAAAAACTCAGCTGTTTGTGTTCACACATGCAGCTCCTTCTGGAAATATCAGGAGTTTTTAGGAGTTTTCTTCAAGTGTGAAAGCCCTATGCGTAAAGAGAATCGGACCAGAATTAAAAAAAAAAAAGCACAATATGCTCTCACATTTTTCAATATTTCAATAACAAAAGGAAGAGCTTATAAACGTCATCACCCACGCCCAATTTTCTTGAATATTTTCTTCTGCTTTCTCACATCAGCTCATCCGACTTCACGCAGAAATTTAGGAAAACGGCCGGTGTAAAGTCGGGGGTGAAAACATTACCGTGTGGAAAATGTTCAGGAGTTTATGTGTTTGTGTGAGAATGAGAATCTGATCCAGTCAGTGACAAATATACGACACTTTTGGTGGACAGACGTTATCTGTGGTATCTGCCTCAAAGGATTACTTCACAGTCTGTTTCACTGCTGCAGGCTGAAGGATCTACTGGAACACATTCTGTACCTGTTAGTCCTCAAGGTCGTCAAATATGTAAAATAAGGGCTGTAGTTAGATGTAAAAGTCCTTTAAAGCTTGAAGACTTTTTTTTCTGTCTTTCTGTTTCACACCGCCCGTCTTTAATCCGATAGTCCTCACCGTCATCACATGTTCTCATGCCAATATGTTCCCATTTTTCTTATTTTAAAGACTAAAATGTTTTTCTTTAAATGAGCAATCCGTTTAAAGGTTGGCCTTTTGGCTGTCGCCATTTTGTTTTTTTGCCTGAGCCAGAAGTGACATAGTCTCATATTTGGTCGACAGGGTGGGGCTTAGGAGAAGCGAGTAGATTAGAAACTCAAATATCAAAGAGGATGGTATTTTTGGCTGGCAACAAAAAGGATTCAACCTCAATATCATCGCAGAAAATGTATCACAAACACTTCAGAGTATCTTTAGGTTGAAGTATGGATTCAAATCTTGTGAGTTTGTCTCCTTTAAGAAAGAAATCAGTGTTTCCATGCCAAATATCAGCCCTGTGTTTGTGTGTGAATTAAGTTATTAACAGCATAAAGACAGTTATTAAAACATCTGGATGAAATACTAGATTAATCATCAACAAAGTCTTCATTTTGATAGTGAAGTAAAAATGTTGTGATCGAAGTTTAAAGTATAAACGTCGAGAATGAAAACTTAAAGGCTTTATATGTGATTTTTCACACTTAAATGTAATATAAATCAAGTATCTCCTCTGAAAATAACTCTGTGAGTCATGACTGTCTACAATGGGTGTAACACCCGAGTCCCACTGTCTGTGATGTTTTCAGAGTTTTCAGAGTCCTATCTTCAGTTTGTTTACATCGCCGGGACGGCCGGCTGACTCCTCCCCTCGTGTATAAAAGTTGTTTAATTGAGGGACTAGAGAAAAGAAGAATAACATACTGTACTCACTGCTTAACTGTGTTTCTAGATCACGCTCATTTCAGGTAAATTTACATGCAGTGTGAAGATACCAGCATAATAAAGATCGCTAGCATTAGCATGCTAACACAACAATGCAGCGCGAGTTGTTTTGGTTTCATGCTGGTGCTCAAGGGCGACATCTGCTGGATCAAAAAATCATATATGAAGCCTTTAAAGCTCCTGTGAGGAGTTTTTGGCAGGTTCTGAAACACACTGAAATGACTACTGATGCCTTTATATGACTTTAGAAAAGCAAACGACCTCCATCAGCGAGGAGAATCATTATCTCTACTGAGTTATTTGTAAAGACTGTAACGGCGCCGCCGGGTTCACGCTGCAAAAAAAACTTAATTTATATTCTCCACAGCAAATATGATGAGATGAGATAAACAGGTTGAGATATTTAGTAAGAAAAATGAACTTCATACACATGAGGAGGTCAAGATCAGTAAAGAGATATTATCCACTTTGTCCACAGGGGGCGCCAAAATCCACACAAACTGAAAGTTCCTCACAGTTAAATGTTTGTGGTAAATTCAAAGTGTAAATTATTTAGTCTCAATTTTAAGAAGACATAACAAGTAAATCACATTTTTATATTCTTCAAGTTTAACTTCATTCTCAATATTTTAATTCATTCTTAATTTTTTTTTTTTTATTCTTAAGACTTGATTCTCAAATTCACATTTTAGAAGATTTGGCCTTTTTGAATGAAGATTTGGATTTTTTTTCTTGCACCTTTTTTTTTCCGTTTACAGTTCTGATGAAGTTTATGAACCTTTTAAAAGACAACCAGGTTATTATTTCTTGACACTTTATTGATCTGGCCTGATCTTCACCGTAGATTGATAGAGATTTTGTAAAACAGAAACCTACAGATGAATAACGACGCTTATTGGTCGAGCCGTTTTTTGTGTCATTCGTCCGCATGAACACTTCATCGCTGTGACATTAAGTGCACGTGTCATTCTGACTGTTGTTCGACGGTCTTTGTCGTTTTTGTTCGGTGTGATTTGCTGGTATCTGCGTCCGTGCTTCATGAATGAATATCAATCTTCTTCGGTTCTGTTTTTTTCTGTTTTGTCGACTTTCAGAAGAAGAAGCCGTAAAAACAAATGTTTGGCAAGAAAAAAAAAACCTTGAGAAGCTGGGATGTTTTTTTTTCTGATTTGTATATTTTTGCCTCCAAAAGCATGCTGGACATTTCCTTTCTTCTAAGAGGTGCAGGGACCCTGTGTTGTTTTTTAAAAAAGTGAGTGTACATATTGATTTCACATTATCTATCAGTATTGTTTTCAATCCTTTGACTGAAATGCTTTTGTAAACTGAATGGAGCCTTTATACATGAATCTGTAAATGTCTTCAGTATCAAATGACGTATTTTACCATGAATATATTTGTTGTGCTTCAAGATTTTATTCAATAAAAACTCGTTTTTGACACTTTGGTGGCTCTTTGGTGACGTCAGGAGAAACGCATCTCATTGTAGTTCTGTGATTTAAAAAAAAAGAGAAAGAACAGCTGATATGTAGCTCTTGAGTGTGTGTGTGTGTTTGCCGTGGTAGACATATGCGTCCGCAGCATGAGTGCCGTGTTGGGTCACCAGTTAGGAGCAGCAGGTCTTCTGGTGTTAAATGGCCCCTGACCAGCTCTCGGTGAGCGGAGCAGCTGCTGCAGGTCCGTGCTGACATCACATTACTCTGACTGAACCTCTGTCTGCTCCTCGCTGCTGCAGCTTCACATCAGGAACACAGTCACAGGAACAGAACTGATATCACTAATAATACCAGGAAACTACAACATACTACTATTGACTGCACTATGTGCTGTATACTGTTATATATACTGTATATATTTATATATATATGGCAAGCCGTTCAGGAAATTAATATATTAAATGAAACTTTGGAGAATTGAAATCAGCTTCAATTCCATATATTCAAAGTTTCATTTAATATATTAATTTCCTGAACGGCTCGCCATATATATATAAGCTGAGATATTTTTATATACATAACCGTAGAAACTTAATTATATCAAATCTATTCGTTTTATTTCCCACTCGGTGTGTAATCACTCGTGTTGTTTACTCTTTGTGTTGTTGTTGTTTGTGTTCTGCTCTTCCTGCAAACCCCCGTCTCTCCTCCTTCTTCCCCTGCAGCACCTGGTCCCCATGGCAACGCCTTCCCCTCACAGATAATGGAGCTCACTCTTCTTTAAAAAGCAGGATGTTCGCCATGGCAACAAATTCCTCACAACATTAGTCACCATGGTGACTGCTCAATAAAATCTTCCTGTGTCCTGCTGACAGGCCGGCACCACACATCAGTCGACTCTGAGATTTCCTACTGACAGTGAAGCACTCTTTTAGTGATCTGTCAGCTATCAGTCCATTCGTCTGCGGCGTTCATTGTATCACTTTAATTCTCATGTTTTCTCTTTTATAAAGACATCAGGAGGTCATGCTGTTTATTGCTGCTACATTTTTTAAACACAACCAGGCAGCAACCTAAAGTATGAAGCCAACATGCAATAAAGTGTAGTTCCACAAGTGTCCACTTGGGGCTGACTCCAAAAGTGAGTCAATCCCCATAGAGCCCCATCTGAAAATGTCCAACTTTAAAGCAGAAATAAAGATGTTTACAGGATTTTGAACTCACCTGTTTGAATTAGATAGAGCTCAACAGGGACCGCCCACTTTGGATCCAGAAGTAAACGTCCCAATTCAAATCCTCCGTAGACATTTTAGAAAAAAACTTTGTCAATATTTGTAATTCCTGGAACGAAGCCAACCAGCTACCTGAATGCTCCTGACTATAAAACATTTGTTTCAGCACAAAGAAGCGATGGTAAAACAAAGACAAAGCCAAAGATAAAAGACCGTGAACATCATCTTTACCAGGAGAGAAAAAAGTACACATCCCACAATCCTTTGCAATTCAAAAGAGAAGCAACAAATGTTTAAAGTTTAGCACACTTTGAAAACGTACACAGACCTTCTTTCTACATTTATCTTTATTGTGGTGTTTATATTCTTTAGTTTTAGTTTCTTTAATGTGTTGAACTTCCGTTAGCTTCAGAGGTAGCATCAGACAGCTGAAGTTTGCACGGGTGGTAAACATTTCCATGGTAACAGCGAGCTCCACCAATCAGAGATGTCGCTGTGACACTCTAGGATTGTGGGTAGTGTATTTATTTTCCCCGAGATCAAAAATAATTCATCTTATTTTTTTTAAACGAGGTTGATAGCATACAAATGTTTGTTTTCTACAGGAGCATAAACCATTTTTAAGACTTTAAAGTGTAACTGTCTGGATGCACAAATGAGGACATCTTTTTTTTCTCAGTTTAAATTGAGCTTAGACTTCAAATTAAAAA